ACATGTACTTCCGTGTTTTAGGACTTGTCAAACTGTGATTGGTCGCCATCAGCAGTAGCGTTTGAAGAGACTGCCACTGCTGTTCCTGTATCTGTGTACGGGTAAGGAGAACGGCGAGGCACAAAGATGGAGGTCCTTCACGCGGTCCACGTCCTGCTCCAGTCCCTGCTGGTTCTGCTGCTGTGGTCCAAAGGTGACGCGAGAGAGTCGGAGCTCAGCCACGTGACCTGCGGCTCGCTGGTCAAGCTGCTCAACACCAGACACAACGTCCGCCTGCACTCCCACGATGTCAAGTACGGCTCAGGTAAGTCCACTCAAACAGACCGGATATCAACACGTATGAGAGCACATTACAGTGTGAAACACGCGACAACACACGAGACTAAATGGATTGTTTGTCCCTCGAGCGGCAGCATCGCGTGCATAAAGAACGCTGTGTTGAATTTCATTCAGAATCTCACAATTGAAAGATTCCTGCTCATCTGCAGATGTCCACAATGCGTCCCAAGCGCAGTAGCAGCCAGGCTTCCTCTCCGTGGTCCATTGTGAATGTAGAAGATGAACCAGCAGCCTTTATAACCTGAACTTTACGTTCAACGACTCAAGACCGCCCACCGCGCTCTGTGAGAGGGACCCGCACCCGATGATCAGCTGAACCAGTACCAAGACTTCAGACCAGGTCTCTGCTCCGTTAGTCTTACACTGAAGACAGGTGGTGTTGATCTCTGAAGGTGTTTGATTTTGCCAGCCAAGCAGCACAGATGAACATATGACATGGTCATGTCTGTGGATGTAGTTCGGCGTTGAGCTTCCTGTCCGCGTGGTGGCAGCATGTACAGCAGTGCTCCGGCATAACTAGCACGACGACGACTCTTTGTCTTCATACAAATCACTGCATATTATTGGAAGAAATCTTCTGTTCACATGCTAGTCCCCCATGCTGTGATGATGATTATGATGATGATGATAAAATGATAGTCTATTCATATAATCACGTGTAGTATTACCCTCGTTTGCTCCACTTGACCTCCCTCTTCTCCTTTCCATATACTGCCACAAGAAGCCTCGAGTCTCTCCTCTTCTGGATGCTTGTGCCAGACTTGGTGCTTTTCTAGGTTTCACTGTATCTATGTAACCAGTTGTGCGCACACATGGAGGTGTAAGAGAAGTGTCCCCTCTACGGAAAGAGACACCTGACACTTCAACCATTCAACCGTGGCCTGTAAGAGTAATGCTGCAGATAAGAACATGCATGAGCTAAATGCACTTGCAATTGACACAACTGTCACGTTACATTCATGTAAATGTAATAATGAATGAGGTATAACTAGAAACTGATGTACAGTACTATCACACATGTTGGGTGGGTGTGCTAGGCTAATGTTAGCATTTAGCAGAGACCTGGAACACTAGCAGGGGCCAACCAGAGGAAGAGTAGGGCCGGGTGTAGGTGTCACATGCTGTGGCTCAGTGGGGAGAGTGGGGCGGTTCAATCCAAGGGTCCTTGAGCGAGACACTGAACCTCACGTTGCTCCTTGGGAGCTTTACAGCAGCCCACTGCTCCTATGCTGAGCATGGGTTTAATGCAGAACTCACACTTCCTGTTTGTAAATGAATAAAGTCCAAGTCGTCCCTCTTGAGCATCCGTTGTAGCGCCAACCTTCCTGTGTAGTATCTCTGCTGAGTGGAGCTTCAACTTTGCTTCTTCTTTCCATTGATAGCAGGTTGCATCCATTGCTTTTTAATGTTTCCCCGACTTTACAAGAGGCATTGTTGTGTCTCCTCACGTTGCATTTAGCAATTCTTCAAAATAAAAGTCCTCTGCTTTAATGATTTTATTGGGTGAGTTGATGGGTCTTTCTCTTTGTCCATGTTTTCATCACTTACAGAAGCTAAAGTTCTGTTGGAGTTCTATTGTGTGACATGTTGAATAGAGTGTGTGTGTGTGTGTGTGTGTGTGTGTGTAGGCAGTGGACAGCAGTCTGTAACTGGAGTGGAGAACGCAGACGATGCCAACAGTTACTGGCAGATACGTGGGAAGCCCAACCATCCGTGTCAGCGTGGAGCGTCCATCATGTGTGGTCAGGTCATCCGCATCACACACATGAAGACCAGTCGAAACCTGCACACACACCGCTTCAGCTCCCCCCTGTCCAACAACCAGGTCAGACATTTGTTTGCAATCGTTTCCTGTGGCACAGGGGAATGTTTATCAGGCTTTGGATACACACATGATTATACTTTAGTAGAACACATTCATTGTGGGTCTGCTGTCCTCTCTGTGTGGCCTGCAGGAGGTCAGCGCCTTCGGAGAGAACGGCGAAGGTGACGACCTGGACACGTGGGCGGTGCAGTGTGACGGCGATCACTGGGAGCGCGATGAGGCCGTGCGCTTCAAACACGTGGGCACCGACGTCTTCCTGAGCGTGACCGGAGAGCAGTACGGCCACCCCATCCGTGGCCAGCGAGAGGTGCACGGCATGAGCGCTCCAAACCAGCACAACTGGTGGCGCTCCATGGAAGGCGTCTTCCTCCAGCCCAGCCAGGTGCCGCTGCGCCACGACGAGCTCTGACATCATCACCGGGAGACACAAAGAGGGGAATCCCTGTTAAAGGGGGTTTAGCTCTCTTGGACCAAACCACGTCATGTCTGTACATGTGAAGCACTCAGGGGGGTCTGACACCAGAGGGATTTAGTTATTTTATATAAAGATTAACATCAGTGGTACTATATGAAGTTATGTCATATGGTCCTTTCATACGGAGAAAATATTTATTCTGAAAAAAACACTGCAACACAGGGGCCCTGAAATACCCAAATCACTGTTGTAATTCTAGTTTCACTTTTGAAATATTGATCATTTTTCAATTGACATAAAATGAATCTGCAACATTTTCCAACATCTAGTAATTGTAAATGTCAGTCGTCATAGTGCTCTTCATTATCTGTTGCTTTTCTTGGTTTTTATGAGATGTCTCTAACGTTTGGACTGTTGGCCTCTGACATCAGGTGATGTACAGAACTATGCACTTAATCTCTGCTTTCAAAAGTAATGCCATGAACATTTTTTTTTTTTTTTTATCAATTAATGACGTACAAAGTCGGGTCAATAGAAAGAATCCAGAAAAGCACTGGTCTTTGCGTCGCTCTGCAGCCTTTCAGAGCCGGTCCAGTGCAGAGCACCGGCTGCCGTCTTCTGAGCGGAGGTGAGTCGCTCGGCTTACATTTCAGATGGATGTTTTTTTTGGACTGAGTCTCTTCTGACCAGACGTCTTTGGCTGTAGTTTGATGTACCACAGTCCAGCTGGTTTGTGCCAGTTCAACAGTTCCAATAGGATTCACCAAAGTCTCCTCAGCAGTTGGTCTGCTTCTCCTAAACACACGTCTGTACTCCAAACAGTCACATGTCCCTGAAAGTCTTCTGAACTCTGTGTAATGTCAAACTGTGAAATAAAATCTAATGAGTGAAAGTAGAAGCAAGTGAAGTGGCCCTGACTGCGGAGAGCTTTGACCACCATCAGCAGCTTAGAACGTACTGCCTCCTCCAAAGCTCCCCCTGAGCTACGGGAGCTCGTTAGGGACAAAACAAAAAGGGGACATTCACACAAAACGGCGAACACGTTTTAAAGATACTGCCGTACTCTGATGTGGAGTGTGGAGCTCTGGGCAGTCATTTAAATGGAGTCTGAATTCTCTCTGAAATGTGCCTGTGTTTGGAGTTTTCTTGAGCTCTAACAAAGTGTGAACACTTTGGTGTTTGAACACTAGAGCCACACATCAGCCAATCAACATGAGAACTGTTCGGTGTGTGGGAGCCAGTCAGGTGTCAGATCTATAACTGAGAACCAATCGTTCTCGGGTCAGGCGGTGTTGCCAGATTGGGTTAGTTTCGATTAAGTCGGGATAAAGAGACAGATTCTGGTGGCTTTAGTCAACATTTACGGACCCAGAAGTGAAGGACAAACTACCGGACCGAGTTCAACTGGAGAGATGTCTCCGACTGAAAATCATCAGACACGGTAACTTCAACCAGGACATCGCTCACAGTGTTGGCTGAGCCTCTTGTTTATTAGTTCTGTTCGCTCATATTTTAGAGTCAGTCACTCTGGCATGGGCTCACTGAAAACCACGACTTAACAGGTTCAAGGGTTATTAATATTAGATATAAGATCATTTTACTACATTCCAAGTAGTGTCCTGGAAGGAACTACATCATGACAGGAAAAGGTCATTGTTCATTTGGTACACTCCTAATAAATAGATGTTCATGAACGCATGTGGCCTACAGACACTGTGTTAGTCGGGGCACAACAGGCCATGCAGACATGGTTTTCTTACCAATTAAATAAAGTTGATAATTAAGTGACAACATAATCAGTCCGATACGTGTAGATGAACCTGACAGCAGGGAGACTGTTAGTTGAGATGGTGAACCATGTTTGAGTGGCGTTAGTAGATATGATTGTTGTTACCGAGCAACGAGCAGCTGGATTCATCCTGATGTGACGTATTTAAAGTCATCACGTCAACAGCCTCCACATGTAACAGTCCTGTTGACTGTGGTGACGTGTTCCCTCTGTATGTCGTCGTTTGTTCCTCTCAACCTCTGGACACGTCCCCTCATGTGCTACTTTATGTACGTCCTCCATGTTTATATGACGGGGATAGAAGTCCATACAGGTGTACAGTGTTTTTCCACACTATGTTGGGTCATTGTAGAAAGATGTGGCTGGTGAACTATTGTTATTAGATGTGATCCTTTGCTAATATAACGCACCTCTGATTCCATTCAGTTCAGAGGACCCAGACCGCTGGAGAAGAATATGAAGATGCACATTACGTCTGTCTCGGATCTACACACAATAGAAAATACAAAATGATGTGTGTCTGGATTCAATAATAAAGTGAGTATGAAGGCAATGTGTCACAGAGCTTCTACTTGATGCTGTGGTTTATAAGCTGTCATTTGTTTTTAGAAAGGTTTGAAATAAGGTGGTCCCTTGAGTCATCTGCTGCATGTTATCTACGACACCCGTGTGACACGTTAACATGACTGTGTCTTAACATGCAGCACGGATTAATCTTTCAAATCCTTCAAAAACAAGCAGTAATATAATCTTCCACATCTGAAGTCCCTCCTTCAGCATTCATTGTGATATCTATATGTCCCGGTCTCAGCCAATGAAAATGCACCGTCTGACCTTTACAGCAAATGGACTCAACCAACAAATGTTCATTTCTGTTGTATAAGTTGTCATGGTGACCTTACCTTATAAAACTGGCTATAATACTTACATTCTAGCTTCATCACATTTAATTAGCAGATTGTTTTAATGTGGATAATACAGGACAAGACGATACGTGTAATGCGATCCAACAGCCCTGAAATCAAACGTGTCTAAAAGCTGTAAAAGTTTCTTCATTATTTCACAGCTGGTCCAGACGTGTTAGCATGTGGCCTCACTGTTTTCATTATAAGACTTTTCATCTGGACAACAGGAGTTATGGAGAGATAACGATGATATAGGAACAGATAATAATGCTCATACGTCAGTTCTAGTTCCTTCTTATGCAGCTTTTAATAAAACCAGCACATTGCATCTATATGTTCTCATGAAAACACCTCGTAGCTCTACATTTACATTTATTGGATCTTTAATTATCAGTTAAATACAATTTAAGTTGAAACGAACTAATTCAAAGCACTTCACAAAAACATGTTATATCCACAGCAGGTGGTGACAAATATCCAAAAATAAATGGATTTGTTCAACAGCTCAGGTCAAACATTTGTCTGTGTATCTGTTGTACTCTGTGCTGATGCTGAGAGGATTGTGCTGCTGACATGAAGGGAACAAACCAACAGATCTAATACACATAGATGATGGTGGAACATCTGTCTATGCTGATCTAGTCTAGTGAACTCTACACGGTAGGATTTGATCCTATGTTACACCCATACCACAGATAAGTAGGAACCCAATACAGCTCTTATAAAATGACAGAGCTCTAACTGAATAATACATTAAATAGATTACATGAATACCAGACCATCTGTGCAAATACATGTGCAGAAATGATGAGTCTTGTAATGCAGCTTTGAAAGCCTTATAGAGGTGAAACTGTGACTTAAGAGTCATACTGATGTAGATAAGGTATCTTTTATACATCACATACATGTACATAGTATTATTCATGTAGGTGAAAGAACATATTGTAATGATGTTATGAAATATGGAACTAGCGCTGGGCGATATGGCCATCATCTCCATAACCACATATATCATGATATAGCATGTATTCTCTCATTACAAGAACCTGAGTGGAAAATGAGCATGATAGTTTGAAAATAAATAAATATAGGCCAAGCATAATTCAAGATAGAAACCATATAACGACAATAACAATGATATTAGTAAAAGGTTTCATACTAAGATATCTTCAGCAGCACCAGGTCCATCACAAGATATGAGGTTTTGTTTCGTTCATGTAAAACAATGCAAATACTACTGCTGGATGACATCTTCCCAAAGCTTCCAAAGCTACTGGTACCAACATGAAACCGTCTCTCTGCTGTTCACTTTTTCATCCAGCAGATGGCGAGAAATGACCACAAAAGACAAACAGCGTGGCAAAGAGCAGGGAGGATGTTAATCACAATAATCATCAGCATCATCCTCCTCTATCATCAGCAGCATCACTTCCTCCAGCATCCCTGCCGGCTGCTGTCTGAACTCAGTAGATATAGAAGCTGTCGGCAGAGTCTCGGTGAACACCTGCGGTGATGGACGGAAACACAGCGAGCCTGTAGGAAACCTGTACGGATGTTTGACAGCATCAGAATGTGAGGCTGCCTGCTGTTGCTTCATTCTGCGTCAAATACCGGCTCCTGTTCCTTACAACCATATTACCCATGTAATAACCATGTTATAAACATCAGCTTTTTCCGATCTGACGCTTACATTTAAACAGGCCAAATAACGTTTTGTTCCTATTTGAATGTTCAATTAATTGTTAAATGAACGAAAACACATTCCATCATGTTGCATAAGGAGCTGAATATAATTTGTATTGCTTTATAACAACGAAGCCTATATTATATTACTTACCCAGAAGCCTTTTACTTTAGCGTCGGTAAAGCTTACAACTACTCTGTCATGTGGAAAGTTGATTTCATTAAGGAGATATCCGATGATCCAAACTTTGTATTCACTGTCCTAACAACCATTCATTTTAATCTATTGAAAGTAGTCTGAAATTTAAAAGATTAAGCATGTCGTGCAGACATCAGTAGGACATTAAGGTCTTGAGCTGGATTCTTAATCGGCCAATACTTCAATGTTGTTATCTATGATTAAAGCTTGACAGGTAACATACAGGTAACATACAGCTAACATACAGCTAACATACAGGTAACATACAGCTAACATACAGCTAACATACAGCTAACATACAGGCAACATGTAGGTAACATACAGCTAACATACAGCTAATATACAGCTAACATACAGGTAACATACAGCTAACATACAGCTAACATACAGGTAACATACAGCTAACATACAGCTAACAAACAGGTAACATACAGCTAACATACAGGTAACATACAGGTAACATACAGCTAACATACAGCTAACATACAGGCAACATGTAGGTAATATACAGGTAACATACATGTAACATACAGCTAACATACAGGTAATATAACATACAGTAACATGCAGCTAACATACAGGTAACATACAGCTAACATACAGGCAACATGTAGGTAACATACAGGTAACATACATGTAACATACAGCTAACATACAGCTAACATAACATACAGTAACATGCAGCTAACATACAGCTAACATACAGCTAACATACAGCTAACATACAGCTAACATACAGGCAACATACAGGTAACATACATGTAACATACAGGTAACATAACATACAGTAACATACAGGTAACATACAGCTAACATACAGCTAACATACAGGCAACATGTAGGTAACATACAGGTAACATACATGTAACATACAGGTAACATACAGCTAACATACAGGTAACATACAGCTAACATACAGGTAACATAACATACAGTAACATACAGGTAACATACAGTAACATTCAGGTAACATAACATACAGTAACACAGTAACATTCAGGTAACATACATGTAACATACAGGTAACATACAGTAACATACAGGTAACATAACATACAGTAACATACAGGTAACATAACATACAGTAACATACAGGTAACATACATGTAACATACAGGTAACATATAGGTAACATACAGGTAACATATAGGTAACATACAGGTAACATACAGGTATCATACAGCTAACATACAGCTAACATACAGGTAACATATAGGTAACATACAGTAACATTCAGGTAACATACAGGTAACATACAGCTAACATATAGGTAACATACAGTAACATTCAGGTAACATACAGGTAACATACAGCTAACA